ACACATATTCAGAAGAATCATGAATTAAATAACGAGCTAGCGATGTTAATGCTGGATCAGAAGTGCCAAATGATTTCAAAGGTACTGTTTTTAAGGCTACATTGTTCAACCAATCTTTCTCCATTAATCTTTCAGTGATTCCAGATTTGAAAAGTCCAGGTGATATGGAATTCACTCTGATTTTGTGTACCCCCATTTCCAACGCCATCACCTGTCAAATATCAATATACAAAATTACGAAATAAATTATATCAGTAAATGTACCTCTGTTTAACCACAGTGAACTATAATTTTGTGAATATCAGAGTCTCTCGACCGAGGAATTAGAGCACAAAGTCATATATGCCAAGCCAGATTAGAAAATTAAGACAATCCATCCTTCTATACAAGCAAGTAAAAAGCCAATAAAAAATTAGAGACATGTTCTCATATCAATGGTTTTACATGTGAGCTTGTTTTTTGTTTTGTATCTTTGTCTAAAAAGTAGAATTTGAAGTTGTAAAGACTATTCAATGGAATTACGGCTATGTTAGAATAGTGGATTAAGCCTAACTCAACCCTACAAAATTACGAAATAAATTATATCAGTAAATGTACCTCTGTTTAACCACAGTGAACTATAATTTTGTGAATATCAGAGTCTCTCGACAGAGGAATTAGAGCACAAAGTCATATATGCCAAGCCAGATTAGAAAATTAAGACAATCCATCCTTCTATACAAGCAAGTAAAAAGCCAATAAAAAATTAGAGACATGTTCTCATATCAATGGTTTTACATGTGAGCTTGTTTTTTGTTTTGTATCTTTGTCTAAAAAGTAGAATTTGAAGTTGTAAAGACTATTCAATGGAATAAGCCTAACTCAACCCTACAAGATGAGGGTTACTTTCCACTTATATACTATTCAATTGCCTAATCTCTAGTCGATGTGGGACTTGGGTTTTTCCCAATACACCCCCTCATGCCTATGAGACATGCATCAATGGTGTGTGGCCCATTTTTAAAGTGGATCTAAATGGCTCTGATACCATGTTAGATTAGTGGATTAAGCCTAACTCAACCCTACAAAACTGGCTTGTAAGATGAGGGTTGCTTTCCACTTATATACTATTCAATTGCCTAATCTCTAGTCGATGTGGGACTTGGATTTTTTTCCAATAGCCTAGAAAGACCATAAAATTTATTCACATGCAGTTCATCTGTTCCTTCTCAAATCTCCTTCAAGGCAGATTTAGCAGAATAAACACAGGTTATCATTTTTTTGACTACTATTTTGTCATTTTGTACTTTCAAAGGTTTTAAATTACAAAACCCTTATTTTCCTGGTTCAAATTAATACACGAGGTTATCATTTTGGTCTTTAAAATATTTATAGCATTTATTTTTTTAAAAGTGTAATCTGTAAATAATGTAAAAAAGTCATCGCTTTAGCTTTTTCTAAATTATTTCTTAGATCAATTTAATTTCTCATTTATGTAAAATGTCATTAAATTTAGGGCTAAATTAGAAATCTTTTATGCACTCGTTTCTCTCATAAGAAACACTTTCTTACTTTTAAGTTCTAAATGAATATATCCCAATTGAACAAGTCAACAACAACCACAACCCCGTCAAAAAATAAGTCAAGTTGTCAAGGAATCCAAAGTGATAAAGAAGAAAATCAAGAGACTCAAAAACTGTAGTTTAAAAAAGGTTGTCTGTTTTTTGTCGATTGATTTAATTAAGATAAATGACATGTCAATAGTAATAATAGTTTACCCTTGTGAGCATATTGACGCCTGCTTTTGAAGATGAATATGCAACACCTCCTGGCAATTGACCACGATTCAAACCACCAATTGAAGCAATGTTGATGATTGATCCTTTTCTCTGTGAATCACGCATACGTTTGCATATATATTTTGAAACCAACCAGGTCCCTGTTAGATTCGTTCTGAGCTCGTCGTTCCATTCCTTCTCAGACAATTCCAAGCATGATTTCACACTTCCTACACCACAAGGAACCATGAAGCATCACTACTTTTATAGCAATTCATTATCAATTTGAAAACCAATAATTTAAGAAATGAATTTTTGCTTTAGGACAATGATTACAGAATTTACATGTATAAATTTTTTTGTTAAAAGTTAAATTAAATTTATTCGGGAAAATATACATATATACTTTTCAATATATATATATATATATATACTTATAATTCCTTAACCAATTAAAAAATAAAGAAAAAGTCACTGGTTAGTATTTTCATTAAGAAATAACACAACAATATAAGGCTAATGGACTTGTATTGCATGGCATGCTTAGAATATATTTGTTTAAACTTTAAAGGCCATTCCGAATTCCAAAGTTCTGGAAGAGTTATCTCACATAACTTTCTCATTTAATAATACAAACATGCTATCAAAATTAAAAGTTACATAGAGCCATACATAATGGTTGGACTCTTTCTCAAAGATAACCTTTTCGGGTTAAACTTAAAGTTTCGAGACCTTTTATTAAAGAGAAGTGCTACACCGTCCAAATTGTATATGTCGAATTATCCTCTGACATTTAAACTAATCATAATATTAAATTAAAATAATTTTCTTTTATGTTAAATCAATCTACAGAAATATAATTTTTAGTGTTCAAAGGATTTTTCAGACCATCACTTTCAGAGGATTAAGCATTTTCCTTTATTAAAACACCACCAACAACCCTGTTACCCCACTAGAATAGATGAAGTCATCTACTCGCCATTCAATTCACAGAGACCAAATTAGTTAAAGGCCATTTATTAAAACTTCAGAACAAAGTATCAACCTTTCACAACGAAATTAAATTATAAATTATTGAAAAAAATAATATTCACATTTAAATCCATGAAAAATAAATAGCACTGTTAACAGAATTCGAATGCAGTTGTTCAAAAATGACATCAAATTCTCAAAATCATTATTGTGCACAGCAATCAAGTGTACTCTTGCAGCATGTTGCATCAATGATTCTTATAGTGGGGGACATTTTCACGTGACCAAACCAAATATTATTCGTATTCCCATCAAACACTGAAGTAATATAGTGTACAGAGAGAACCCAGGAGTTATAAGGTTCGTTCAGTGGTTTGAAGAAGACTTAAGAATGAAGTAATAAGGAGAGTTTGAATTTTAATTTCTCACTATTTTAAAAATTAATAATTAATATTTATTGATAAAAAAAGTCACAAAATTCTTCTTATCTTTTAAAAGTTTTGATACTTTTTATTATCACTTTAAAATAAATTATTAATCTTTTTTAAATAATATTAAAGTTTAAGTAATATTTTTTTTATTATGATTTATATTTTTAATTCCTATAAAAAAATTTATCTGTTTTGCTCTTTATAAAATTTTATTTTATAAGTTTAGTTCTTTTTTCAATATCTTATTAACTTCTGTATATAAGAAATTACACAAAAATATTTTTAAGAAATATTCTTTGATCTTTTTCAATTTTTATTATTATAATTATTTATAAATCAAATTTTAATATTTAAATCAGAGTATCAATAAATAAAAAAATATCTTATATTATTATACAAATTATTTATCATAAATCTAAAATATAATTTTAGAATCTCTATTTTGATTTTTTAAATAAATAATTTCACATTACTGATAAATAGTAACAAATTATAGATACTAAAATCATAAACTTACGAAAATGAAAAACATATTTAAATTGAAATTAAACCAAAACTTACACACGAATTAAAAATTCTCAAAATGGAATTACGATACAAGCTAATTACAAATTACAAAAACTAACACAACAAATTCATATCAGATAATTCACATGCTGATATATATGTTGCTGAAATTAAACAAAAATTCAGTTCCATCGTAACGAAAACTCAAAAATGCGCGCAATTGTTCCCACTTCTCACAAACCACGTCAATTTCTCAAACGTGAACGATCGAATGAATATGTTACGTTTGCACGAGAAATTTTATAAATTCAAAATTTTAAATTTGTAATATTTAAATTATTTTAATTTTAATTTTTATTATTTTTAAAATATTTTATTTAAATAAATCAATTTAAAATTTTAGGTTTAATACGATAATTTAATTTTATGGTAAAATTAATTTTAAAAATATATTTATATGTTAAAACTTTTAAATTAAATTTTATAAAAATAAATATTA